TTATTGGTTGCTGCTGCCATGACGCAAGCAGCGCGACGGTGCCGACGGTAAGTGCGCGTGGGGGTGAGGGGCTGAGGGAATTGCTTTGTAGTGGGGCTCGCTTATCTCCGCGGGTGCCTCTGGGGATGGGTTGCTCTGCGGTGTCCAGGACGCGGATGTCGCTCCTGGGGCTCAGCCCTGCCTCTCATCCCCCGGAAACGGGGTACTTGCTGCTAGGGGTGGGGGGAGTCTTGGGTTGGCGGCTCCCCCACAGCAGCGCCGCGGGGGCGGTGCTTCCCGCTTTTCCCAGTCCCTCAGAGAGAGAGTGAGTGGCGTAGAGGTGCGGTGAGGAAATGTACTTGGGAAATGATCCTGTCAGGAGTAGGGACTGAGGGGCAGAGCAGGACGGGCAGGCGGCTCCTCGCTCCCGCGGCGCTTAGCTTGTCGCTGGCCTGGCCCGGGCAGGGAGCGGGGAACAGGCCTCTTCTGCGCACAGCCGTGGGGCCTGCCTTAGGCTGGGTGCAGGCTGCCAGCTGCTGCTTTGGTCGCCTCTGAGAAAAAGCATTTTGAGTTGAGATTTTGTTCTCTGACTGCCTTTACTGTCTTGTACAGTGCAAGGCTCACTCTGCAAGGCGCTACATCAAAACCATGCCTAAATGCTGCTTAAGACGTGCAACAAGAAACTCTTTTCTGCTTACGTCTGGGGGAAAAAAACCCCAAACCAGCCTACTTGCATAGGTTGAGGTTGGTTGTCAGGAAAGTCTTCTGTTTGCCTGGTGTTAGCACCACTTTCTGGACTCGTACCAACGCAGGGAGGGCAGCGTGAGCTGGATGATGCTTGTTGGTTTTTGCCTTGTTCATATAATTTCTGTAAAGGCATTGTGGTTTGTCGCAAAACCTCAGGGCTATGGTATGGCTGTGCAAGTTTATAGAATGATACACGTTTTCAAACTTAAAGTAAGGAGAAGTACTGCCCAGCTGAGGTATAAATTATCAGGAGAATAACTTTCCAGAGGTGATCACTCAGCATGTTCTTATATGTGGAGACAAAATATGTGAAGCTTTGGGCTAGGTAAATCCAAGCAAAGAAGTAATAAAAACCTGATAGTTAAAAGGTTAAGTTAAGGTTGTACTTCTGTTAGTGGTTTGGATGTAGGATGGCACTTTTGCAAATGGTTTTATGTCAAATGTTGCAACTTACTTGCCTGCAGGAGAGAGTGTGCAATACAGTGTTACAGAAGGTTTCTGCTCCATAAAGGAATGCAGATATCTTATAAATGAAGCCTCATTGTCACCCATGTTAAACTTAAGTTTTTTTTATGGAAGGTAAAAATCTGTTGAAGTCATGCAGCCTTCTCCTAGCAGGGTAGTAACATACTTGGTTTTAGTGTGTTTTGGACAGAGGGAAAAATCATCAGTTTTCTATGTAGTTAAAAGACAAACCACAAAAACAAACCACAAAACACTGATCTTTCCAGGGTTTAGAGTTTAGTTACACCCTGGAGAATTCTCACCTCTGGCTGTGCTCAAAATATTTTGTGTTACAAGATGTAATGCATGATGAAAACAATATATTTGCTGTATGATAAGCACTAAATTATAGCACTGTTTTAAATATGGTTATAGTATCTGAATTGTTTGTTCCTGTTTTAGCTAGAAACATGGAAAATTTGACAACCAGAGTGCTACTATTCAGAGCAAGTGTCTTGTGTTTGGCAAAACAGAAAGGAACAATTTGAAAGTGAAGTCACTCTTCTGGTTGTGCTCAGATTTGGTTAGTCATCTAATATTAAGCATCTCTGGGACATTGTAACGCAGCTAGAGTCCTGGCAGTGAAGAAGAAAAGAATGTGTTCCGTATGAGAAGAAAGCTTGAATATGATTGATAGATAACATTGAAAATTCTGAAAACAAGTTAAAAGAGAATCTTACTTTTTGCTGACGTGACATTTCTAGATAACTATCCATCTCGGCCTGTGTAATGCTTTACTTTTAGCATTTCCACTATGTCTTTTAAACAAGTCTACCTTTAAAAATATTTGTTTGAAAGTAATTCCTTACATCTACTGTTTTCTAGGTTGATCAGCTCCAAAATGTTATCTCAGTGTTTATGCCAAGTTTACAAATGTTTGTTTCTGCGCAACTTAAGACTGAATTCAGTAAATGTGACTACTTTGGCCAGAAGAATCCATTCTTCAGTAAAAAAACTTTCAGACTGTGAGTTAAAGGAAGAAACCATCCAGAAGTGTGAAAATGAAGAGTTACCTCAAAGTACAGAAAACAATAATTTTGGAAGATTACACATACCAGTGATGCTGGAGGAGGTTGTTAATTGTTTATCCCCCCAGCCAGGCCAGGTGAGTTAAATGATTAATTAACATTTGTGGTTCAGTTGCAGTCCAGCAGAAAAATTTGTGCAGTGTAGGGTTGAGGAAGAGTAAAGGGATGCTCTTTAAGAATCAGTTGCACCTTTTAAAGGTTCTGAATTGTTTTGCAATTCAAATTAGGAATCTGTATAATAAAAATCTGGTATCTGTACACCTGATTTCCCCAAAGAAGCAGAACTTTTTAAAACTGTAAGTATTTGAATAATCTCTTGCTTTTGTGCTTTTCTTCCTGAATTGCTTTTGCATATTTCTAGGGTTCTGTTAATTGCTAATAGTACGTGTATGGTTATGTCATCAACTTGTAAAGAGCTCTTTTTCTTTTGTATAAGAGGTAGTAACTATGTAGGCTTTAAAAGTAATCATCATCATCACCTGTTCTGAGATACTTATTTCCATGGTTTCATGTGGCTGGAGGCAGTACGTTTCCTTATGCTTACACTGCATAATGTGGTGCACTGAGGAGGTACTGTAGTTATAAAATGACAGTGTATGGTAATAGAAATGGTTTAGAATTAGTAATGTGGAAGTATTGCAAGTCATCTTATTTGGCTATGGTACTGTGAGTAGGTTCTTTTTGGTACCTGGCTTAGTTGATGTAGCTAGGTTATACTGTTGTATGCAGTGTAGGTGTACTGTTACACGCTCACTTTACAGAAATGTTACACAGAGTTTTCACATGAAGGAACTTAAATACAATATTAAGTTGAAAGTTTTCTTATACAACTTAAATTATTTTCTCAGTTCAGATGCTTTCATCTGTCAATTTAGTAATTTTTATTAGCATTATGGAATCTTACTAATTTAGAGTTGTGTATGTGGAGTTTTACTAGAAAGAATGAAATAATACATAAAAAAGTAGAAAGTTCACAGTATGTGTATATTTATTCATTTTTACTCAAACAGCATAATCCAGGAGAGGCAAAAGGACGTAGCAAGTTTGACATGATTCAGGGATCAAAAAATTGTGGTCAATTCTTCCTTTATTGCCTCTGAGAACTTCTTTAGTTTGGATCACAGTTTATCATTTTAAGTGTTTTGGAAACCAAAAAGGATCAGAACAGGGTAATTATTGTAACATATGCATTGTTTTTGCATGTGTCCTACTGCTGAGAATGCCTAAATTAGTGAAATACATAAGGCACTTCAAGTTCAGACTTCATTAATGTGTCAGAACTATGATGAAATCTTCATGCATTAAATCAACATAAAAATTATGACACTGTCACATGTAAAGTGGTTTTCCAGTTGTGTAAATTTCTACTTACATAAGAATTAAGAAGAGGCTGAAGGGGGGAATGTTCATTAAACTGTGTGTGTTGATATAAAAATAACTTGGTGACATAACTTGCAAAAGAAGCTATTCCTAGTTATAAACTGGAGAGTAACTGTTGTTGACCCTGAAAGCTTTTTGAGAGTTTAAATATTTATGACTGTAAAATAGCTTATTATTGGGGTGGGATTTTTTCAGGTCTATGTATACGTGGTTTTGTGGATTCCTGAGATAGTGGTGAACCACTAATAACAGACATAAGAGAGCACAAGTGTGTTGCCTTGAACAGAAACATTTAGCATAGCTGAAAATGAAAAAGAGCACTTGCTTTTTTTTTTAAAGACAGAGTAA